TCATTAGAGGCGATATGGATTCTGTAGAAGATAAATCAAAAGACAAAGCAAACTGGGAGTGTATGCAGTGAGTCTTATGGTATCTACAAGAAGAGAATTACATAGGCTTCATGTTTAGTTCTGTTAATATAAGAATTAGAGAACATCTTAGATCATTTATAAATCCTTTGCTTTCTCTTAAAATAAATTTAAGACAAGATAAAACAATAATGAACCAGATGTGTAACTTGAACCTAGAATATATAACATCTTATCAATATATCAGCATTAGATAAGTATAATATTAATGCTTATTTTTTAAACACTTTATTCACGTTAGTAATAAATTAGAATTAGGAAAACTTTATTTACATAATAAAGCTGAAAATTATTACATTAGTAACAACACATTTACAAATGCATTCCTTTGAATGTAATGTTGTTCTACTGTTACTTAATTTTAATTTTGTATGAATTGTTTTTATTTATACAAATTCCATGTAATTATATTGTGTTTTGAAGCACAAATGAACAAATGAAATGAAATCATACTATCAAATGTATATACTAATCTCTATATATAATGTAAATGTTTTAATGTCACTTAAATGCAGACTGAAGATTAATTTATGTGCTATTGTAAAGTCTTAATATTTCTATACTGTACCTTTATATAGTATGTGATATGATGCCTGTGAATGGAAGTAATAAAAGTACAATATGTACCCTATTTATTCCTCACAGACACTATTTCATGATGAGTTTTAAGTATTTACTAATTTTTTCAGTGTATATATTTTGTATGTTGTGAGTATTTGGTGCAACTATGTCTATTATGTATGTAATTTTGTTTTGTTTGTCAATGAATGTAATGTTTGGTCTATAATGATGGACTGTTTTGTTTGTGATTATGGTTAAGTCAATATATTTTGTGTGTGTTGTTTTCTACAACTAGTATTTTTAGTATGATTCCTGGATGTCTAGAAGTTTGTGTTTGTGTGCAAACTTTTGATACATTATGTTTGCTATTTGGTTATGTTGATGTAAGTAGTCAGATTGTGTTAAAAGCTCATAACCAATGTAATGTGTCATATGCATTCATTGCCATAAAAATTAGTGCAACAAGGAGTTGTTATATCACTGCAAAACTTGGTATGCAGATAAGTCTCAAGCAGATATGGAAATGATTAGAGTTATAGTGTGATGGCCCATTGTGTAATGTAAGCAGAGGGCATTAAAGTGCTTCCCTCTTGACCTATAAAAAAAAATGGGCAAATGCATTATGTCTGTACTTTACCTGTTGCAGAGGGATGCTGTATCACTATAAATGTCTTTACTTCACAATAAAAGACCATATGAACAACTAACAGAGTTTGAGAGGGGAAGAATCATTGAGTCAAGAGAAGCTGGATGATCATTTCACTGAATAGTCCACCATCTAGGACATTCTGACAACACTAAGGTAGCATTGGGACCAGTGGATGATAGAGAGCTGCTTGCAAACATGGAGCCCAGACTCAGGATGCACTCAGCAGACCACTAGCCAAGAGGATTGCCTGGTCCTGTGACAAGCACACACATAGCTGATAATATTGTTGTCTGCCATCTGGACATAGATGGTGCCGTCATTACAGGACCCTGTGCCTGTCTATACCATTTCAAGGTGTGGGTGTCTGGGTGAGAAACATTTGGTATTGCAGTGGCAGTTGTGTATACAGCCATTGACACCACCCACCATCACCTCTGTTTGGAGTGGTCTAGCACTTGAAAGGATTGGACCACAATGAAATAGAACCAGGATGTCTACAGCAATGAATCTGGATTCAGTTTGGGCACTAATGATGGTCATGTTCATGTTTGGAAGCCCCATTGTGAATGCCTCAATCCTGTCTATATTTTGGAGTGGCACACTGACCCCACAGCTGGTGTGATGGTCTGGGGTGCCATCACATATGACAGCCTATCATATCTAGTAGTGATCCAAGAGACCATGACATTCCAGTGGTATGTTAGTGACATCTTGCAGTCACATGTGTTGCCTCTCATGGCAGGCTTCTATTGAGCCATTTTCCAACAGGACAATGCACAATCACACACATCAAGGGTGTCACAAGACTGCCTCTTCCAGATAGCCTGCCTGATTACTTGATTTGTCATCAATCAAACATGTCTGGGATTGGGACTAGGATGTCAAGTTAGATAGCCTAGGAGTTTAGCCAAACTAGAGAACTGCTTACAGCAACTATGGACTGAGATGCTGAAGGTCATCATATGACTATGACACCTGTATGCCTCCATGCCTGCCTGTATCACATGTATTCACACTAGAGATAGCTCAACACAGTACTAGAACTTCCTTTCATTTGTAATTTTTTCTGCAATAAATGATCCTTTCATTTTCATTTTGTAATCACTTACTTATATCACTGTTATACTCACACATGTACAATTTCATTTGATTTTGACAACTCCTTCTTGGTGTGCTAATTTTTATGGCAATGAGTGTAGTTACACACATTTCAGAATTTCCTATGAGTGTCATCTGTAAATGTTTTTTAAAATCTGCTTCCTGTAATTTTTGTATTTATGACCTGGTCTTATATGGCAATCATGAACCCTTCTCTCTCTCAAAAGATAATAATAATAATAAAGGAGGAGGAAGGGCTGTCTGCTTTTGCAAACTTAGCCCACTACGAAGAGAAAGGAGTGAAGAAAGGGTTGAAGGAAGGGTTCTGAAGGGAGAAGTATAAAGGAAAAGGGGAAAAGTAATGCTGAAAAAAGTTATTAGGACCTCAGAGCGCTGCATCAGAAATAATTAATAACCAAAATTACAAAAGTTGACAAGACCGTTATACAGTATTAACAATTACGAGGAATGGTCCGGTTACAGTAAAATGTAAAACTCATTACTTATGGTTAGGTATAAACTAACCTTGAACACTGCAATGTCAAAATAACATTAAGAACAGATTACAATTTTAACACGCAGAGAGAATGTAAATATCAGCTTACTATGATATAATAATACAGATTACATGGTACGTGAGGACCCGATACATATAAATGGGATATTTTTTTTAAATCTAGAATTTAAAACTAAACTAATATTAGACAACTAAACTATGTACAGAAGAATTCTACACGGCCGATCAATCAATCGCTGATAACATCACTTTTCCGATTTTTCACCATCTTCCTGCTCATCTTGTCTGTTCTTGTTTTCATTCTCAAGAATTTTTTCTTTCCTGTAGTAATCTGGCAGAAGAGCCTTGGTGCTTTCAATAAATCTTTCAAAACACTTCCAGAGATTTTTCTTATCAAAAATGTTTTGTAGTGTCGGTGGCCAATTATGACCTTCTTGAATGCATTCCCTATAGAATGGAATGCGTTGATCCTCATATCGTTCACAGTGGAATATAAAATGAATGGCATCTCCTACACTATTATTGTCGCACCGGCATTTATCAGTGTTTCTCTTCTTAAAGCGGTAGAGATAGGCCATAAAATTGCCGTGCCCCGTTAAACATTGGGTGGTTTAAGATACATCCACGAGTTGACTGCAATTTGATACAGCTCTGTCAATGTGATTCTAGATGAAATCATTAGAGTGCCAAGTGCCAACTATGGAGCTCCCAAGACTGCCTGATAGTGTCTGTATATTCTGTATATTATGTTAGATCCAAGTCAGTGTTGTGTAAGTTTAATGTGTACTATTTTTGTCTGCAAGAGTGTAATTCTGATGTTTCTTCTTTTCTGTAGAAAAACTTTAACAGTGTGTGTATTTGTTTGTAATGCAAGTTTAAATTATCTGAAAGGTCTTGTCCTCCCCTTTTTTGACAAGGAATCAACTTTTCTACAAATGATTTAAGGTGGCGTTTGTTATGTTTTGTTGGTGTTGTTTGCATTTTCCTTTGAAAATACTATAGTTTAGCATGTTTCCAAATGAATATGTTAATAATGGGACAATATATGTATTGATAGCTTTAAACGTGTGTTTTGCATTCAGCTGTGTTATTGGTATTACTTAATCTAATCTTATACTGATTTGTTAGTTCTTATTTTATTTGTATGTGTTCTATGAGTTTAAACTGTTGAAATTTTAAATATTTAAGACTTCATATCCCTTATCCATGGATTCAATGATATCTCTATTATTATTATTATTAAGTTATTGATTACAGCACAAATGAAGCAGTAATGTTATTTCCTTGTCAATGGACTTTTTCTTAAGAAAGTATTCTCTCTTAAAAGGCCTAATAAAATCACACTGTAACATATAATAAAATAAAGGACTAATAAATTATCTTCTAAATGAAAATACTCAGTTAATGAACAATATAGTGACTAAATTTATTTTTTTTTTTTAGAAAAGTACTGAAACTCATGAATATTTCATTTTTATTGATAAAATAAATATCTTGCAACTTTAAGAATTGTAATATATTGGCAAAACAATTAGAAATCCAATATGCATTCTATTTTTTGTGTACAGTCAAACCTTGTTATAATAACCTCATAAAATAACACAAGCCTTGTAAAGTGCCAATAAATACTTATAAACATATCTTTCCCATAAATATTATAGAAAACTCTAGTATCTGTGAATTTCTAAACATATAATTTCCACTGAAAATGGTATTGTTATCACCAAAACATATAACTTTCAAATTGCCAAACTTATGTGTAGATTTTTGTTACTAAAATATCTTGTATTCCCAACATATCAGGTACTTCAGTGTAATGTCACATTTGATTCAATGCAAATTTCAAAAGGTGAACAAAATGATGGTACTAAATCAAAGTTTGACACCATAAACATACAATCAAACTTCAAAATATTACTTGTGATTATCAAATGGCAAAATTCAAAAAATATTTCTCAAAATCAAAATCTTAAATTAAAAGAAAAAAAAAAAATATGTTTTACATAATAATGTTTATCTCTACTTTGTTGGTTGTATAATGTCTAAATTAAAAAATTTTCAACAATTAAAATAATGAGGAAATAAAATTTTACTAACCATTCGAATTATCTCTCCATAAACTGGTTCGGTTAGAACACCTCTACCTGCAGTAATATATTCCACTAATTCATTTAATGTTGCTCGTTTGATCTCTTTACCTTTGAGATCAGCAACAGGATCCATAAAATCAAACACCATGGAACACTGTCGTAATTTTCTAATAAATAATTCTTCTTGTTCTGCAGCTGGTACATCTGTAATAAAAGCAAGATTAAATATTATCTTTTTATGCTTAATTAACTTTCAATAGTATAGTGTAGGAATATGCCTACATTTTTAATTCATTTATATCTATTATTTATATTTTAAAACATTTAAAACAGAATAATTACAAAAATTTAATTTTGTTGAAATTGTGTTTTACCTTCACAACTATGTTTTTTTCCTATACAGTTTTTTCCTAAACTTGATCCTTAACAGTTAAAATGTGAAGGATCAAGTTTTATACATATTATTTTAAAATAACAAGGTTTAGAGACTTTTCTGTCAAGGCCGAACTACAGTTATTAATAATGACAAACAGTAGTTGCAAATTCATATGCTTGCCTAAGAAGAGGACTAGACACAAAGATGGTCTAAACCATGACTCAAGGTTGTTTCTAAACTGGTTCTGTACAAAAAAGTGTAAATTGCTTCTGAAAATAAAATGTAAACTATTCTAAACTTTAAAAATAATGAACAATAAAACATCTATGACAGTTAGATTGTCTTTAAAAAATGATAGTATTTTTAGATATAATAGAAACTATATAAATTTTAGTTTCTATAATTAAAACATCTTTTAAAAAATATGTTGGAAAACATTTTTCAGTATAAGAAAAATAATGTCATATTTGTATTTCTTTTAAGAAATGTAAATACAGTAGAGCATCGATTTTCCGAAAGTCAATCATCCAAAAGAATTCCAGTCGGCAAATTTAAATTTTCGTCAGTGCCATGGCGCTTCAATCTTTGGCTATGTCTTCGGCTACTCAAATATTTTACGTTTTTGATACTAAATTAACATCTGAAGTATAAATTTTTATTATTTTTATATTTTTCAATATATTTATTTTGTTTGTACAAAATAAAAAACTAATTTTTAATGATACAACAGTCTTTGTTAGGTTTAACATCGACGAAAATTCAACGCGAAGTAACATGCAACAGAGAAAAATTTCAACATTGGATATGTTAACTATTTTTTCGTACATAAATCANTGACTATGACAATGAACTAATTGGCAACTCATGGTCTGATCAAACTAAATATTTAATGTGTTCTAGCTAGTTGAAAATAAAATACAAATTATAATTATGCTTAATTAACTTTCAATAGTATAGTGTAGGAATATGCCTACATTTTTAATTCATTTATATCTATTATTTATATTTTAAAACATTTAAAACAGAATAATTACAAAAATTTAATTTTGTTGAAATTGTGTTTTACCTTCACAACTATGTTTTTTTCCTATACAGTTTTTTCCTAAACTTGATCCTTAACAGTTAAAATGTGAAGGATCAAGTTTTATACATATTATTTTAAAATGGAACTAAACAATTAAACATTCATTCATTTCAACTTATTGAGTACTTATGATGTAATACAATGCTACATACTATATTAAGCATTCGTGATCTTAGAACTACAAATAAACCATACAAATCATTGAAATAAAGTTACTACATTTAAAGTAAATTTTGCTGTAATTTATTATATTTATTTATTTTTGGAAATCTGTTAAAAATGAAACTATTTGTGGGACTTTTTCAGACAACTTTTTTGTATTCTCTTTCAAATTCTTGTTTATAGTAACAATTATAAATTATTATACTCATTCAAGACAAAATTAAAATGATTAGAAAGAAATAAATCTAAAAAAATGTCTATAAAAAAATTTTTGACTAAATAGTGTTAAACTAACAAATATTTATTACAGATATTTCTTATGCAATTAAGATGAAATTATGATAAAAATTCTTTAAATTATTCTCTTCAACTATGTATTATAAACTATAATCTAGTTCATGTTTGGAAGCCCCATTGTGAATGCCTCAATCCTGTCTATATTTTGGAGTGGCACACTGACCCCACAGCTGGTGTGATGGTCTGGGGTGCCATCACATATGACAGCCTATCATATCTAGTAGTGATCCAAGAGACCATGACATTCCAGTGGTATGTTAGTGACATCTTGCAGTCACATGTGTTGCCTCTCATGGCAGGCTTCTATTGAGCCATTTTCCAACAGGACAATGCACAATCACACACATCAAGGGTGTCACAAGACTGCCTCTTCCAGATAGCCTGCCTGATTACTTGATTTATCATCAATCAAACATGTCTGGGATTGGGACTAGGATGTCAAGTTAGATAGCCTAGGAGTTTAGCCAAACTANATGTAAAAAATAATCTAATTATGTAGGAAATTCTAAAATACACAAAAATTAAATTTTCAAGCACGGTTTTGCATCAGAGTAAGTAAAATAAAAAGTTAGCAGATAAATATACATGGTAAAAAATCTTTACTTAAACTATTAATTCCCAATTTATGAAATTTTATTATTAAGCTTAATGAATTGTAATCAAGTATTTAGAAAAATTAATTTTAAATTAACAATTCAATGTTTTCAATGTGGGATAACTTGAAGTCCATGTTAATCAGAAAGATAATGATAATCTAAAATGATAATCTTACTTAATAACAATTAAGCATAATATTTAAAAATTTATTTAAGTACACAAAATAAATTTGAATTTCTTTTAATACATTTTGAACACTTATCAAAATAATGTCATCTTAGTATAATAATTTCTTACATTTTTAATATTTCATCATCAACCTTCATAAAGCTAACTGTAAGATATAAGTTTACTTAGAGTTTCAAAAAACTCAGTTTACACTGTCAACACCAGTGATGTAATACTGACAATGTTCTGTAATTCAGCAATTACTTATGGATGAGATGCTGTGCTGTAATTTCTTTTCTATGTTTTATAGCATTAAATTCTTCAAATATTGTTATATTTTTGCAAACAATATACAATGAATTCATATTTGTTAAAGAAATAGCTTTAATATATGATAATTCTATTAGTATTCATTTGGAATGGTTATAAAATTTCTAATTAATATTATTTATATAAGGGTCAGATTTGTGTGTTTAAAATTGGAATATTTGTATATACATATACACATTAAAATGCCTTTTGCATGTTAAAAGTTCCAGTAATATACACTAAAATTTGTAAATCAAAATGCATACTACTTCTGTCTGCAAGCAATTCTTATTACTGTTCATTACATCATGCATGTTCAATCAAATTTTATAACTTTCTATGCCATGTAGTTAATCATTTATTGAATTTATTTCTATATATACAATTGTTTATAAGATATTTGAGGATGACTAGAATAAATTTTACATTATTAAATTAATAAATGTAACATTTGCAATAACTTAATTCCAATTAATTTAAAGTATTTTGAGAATTTAAAAAATGATAAGTTTCAATGGTAACTCAAAATGTGTTCATTTGTGGGGTAACTATAAAAGAATGTGAGTTAGCTGTTAAATTTAAAACATCTGAATTTTGAATGTCAATCTGTAACTGCATGGTGGAATGATACATATGGCATGATACATGCTAATGTAAACCATACATGAGCAAAAAAGTAGATAGCAGAAATAGACTATAGATCATTTGAAAAAAAAAACAAGCACTTATTCAGTCCTAACTGGTCAAATCTGCAAAATATGCAGTAAGAAACAGACACACATTATCTTACAACTTTAATTTCATGCACTTGAATCCAAATAGTGCTTATATTGAGGTTCCGTCATAGCATTTACGGGAAAAAACATGCCTGAGCATACAAATCCAGGGGTTATTTATAACCATAACAAAATTTAGACAGACATCTCTAGAAATGATAATCTACTTTATCATCTAATTGATAACTTCATATGCTATGAAATGCTCTAAATAATCAAACATATAATAGAAAGGAATTAATTACACAAATTAGCGTTCTACAGGTGTGGCAATGCATAAATATGCTTTGTGAAGCATCTCCATCCAGAGTAAACCTTTTAAAAATATTACAATATTCACAAAAATGGATGGAAATAAATTTCCTATTAAAAATATGTTAGAGATATTCAAAAAGTAATATGTAATCAATAAAAAAAATTTGTGATTGACACCATATTAAGTAATTCCTAGTAATAAATAATATGTAAAAAGTATAAACTGATTAAAAATTTAAAAATTCTGAATTTTAAATAAATTTATTTCTCAAATTTTAAAATTCTTCATTCCTTTCACAAATGAATTTTGTAAAGAAAGAAGAGATGAATAATAAATAGCATTTATGAAAATATTTAGAAATTTCATTTGGTATGAATGTGATTCAAAATTCTAATGACTATGACAATGAACTAATTGGCAACTCATGGTCTGATCAAACTAAATATTTAATGTGTTCTAGCTAGTTGAAAATAAAATACAAATTATAATAAAAAATTATATAAATAAATATGAAAATTTATATGTAATCACATAAAAATTGTAAATATAGAGCACCACACACTTAAAAGTAACCCATATTTAATTAAACAACTGTTTTTGAAGACCCAACCATGATGACATTTTATGTCACTTCAAGATGCTCTCCACATCCATGTTGCAATTCATAATAATTCCTTATAAACAATAACTGTTACAATATTTAAAAAATAATTTGGTATTTTTCACTAAAACACTGATTAAATTCTAAAGAATTTAATAAAGAGTGGTAGAATAAAGAAAATGTTATAATTTAAAGTAATGTGAAGCAAATTAATAATGTTAAACCCCTTTAAAAACAGCAAATGGCATTTCAATTAATACACTGCTCAAATGCCTTGACATTCTGAGGCACCAAGCATTGAATTCATGTGATGCATAAAAATAAATTTTATGCATTGTGAAGAGTCAGTGCATAAAGTACTTTATTTTTTTGATATTTCAGATTTTTCCTTAAAATTTCATTTGATATCTTTTTAACTATACCATTGAGTTTTGATGTAAAAAGTCTACTTCTACTCATATTCATATTCAGTGATTAAGATCAATATAACTTTATACATGCAAGATATATTTTTCAGATTATAAAGAATTTTATTACATACAGGGTTCCTACTCAAATTTTTGTTTTAAATTCCATGA